TTGTCTTCAGATCAGGCTAGCTGACTTGGTTGACACATGTCATAGCACCCCAGTTGCGCAGATCGATGTTCATGCTGTTGATCACTGGATTGTCTGGTCCAGACTGGATTATTTACAGACCGCCGCCATGTAGCTGGAATATTGCTGTGTGCGGCGTTAAACAATAACCAAACAAAATAAAACAATCTACTTGTTACTTAAAATATTAAACGTAAATCCTTTCGGAATGCATATTCAGAATATTTTAACATAGATTTACATTAATTGTACACTCATTATCCTAATGGGTCACATGTTCACATGCAATGTCTGATTCCTAATTGTATTAGTGAGTGAGTTGTGTTTTACGCCGACTATTGCAATTTTCCAACATTATCACTATGGGACACCAAAACCAGGGTTCACACAACCACACGCTGTGTGGAGAATCGAACCAGACCCTCCGCCGTGAAGAGAAACGAGTGAGTGAGTGAGTTTGGTTTAACGCCGCTTTCAGCATTTAGCAATATTCCAGCAATATAACGGCGGGGGACACCAGAAATGGACTTCGCACATTGTACCCATGAGTGGAATCGAATCCGGATCTTCGGCGTGGCGTGACGAGCGAACAATTTAACATCAAGGCTACCAAACCGTCCCTGTGAAGAGGAATACTTATGTCAGAGATAATGTTTTACCATCATTTTGCTGTAATGCTTGAACAACTTCTCCTCATTTGTTTGACCAATGCTCCACCCTCGTGGACATGACTGCTTCTTCCTGCGGGGGTCAAAATTTGGCCTGAAACGAGAAAAGACATGATGAGACATTGAGGATGTGTGGATTATTATTATCATAGCCGATTTCTTTTCTCACAAAACAGATATGTGCAGCTCGTCTGGGCTATGTGGATGGTTTGCTTGGTTTTATAGTTTTAGGGTGACGCGGGCCAATAATAGGCTTATTTGCGCCCTGACTATGAGGACTAAACATGTGGAGTTGCCTCCCTTCACTGCGGGTTCGTATACCGGCCTTTGTATCCTAGTTGCGAAGATGGATGTTCTCGATATTGATCACTGGATTGTCTGGTCCACACCCTTTTTATTTACAGACCGTATAGCTGGAATAGTACTAAGTGCGGCGTTAAATAACCATCAAACCAACAAACCAACCAAACCAACAAACCAACCAACCAACAAACCAACCAACCAACCAACCAACAAACCAACCAACCAACCAACCAACCAATCGAATCCCGGTTTGCCCTGATTGTTTCTAGGTTATGATGTCTAGCATCATGGTTTCACCATAGTGGGAAACGTCAGGAGCGGTGGGTAGCCTGGTGGTTAAAGTGTTGGCTCGTCACGCCGAAGACCCGGGTTCGATTCCCCACATGGGTACAATGTGTGAAGCCCATTTCTGATGTCCCCCGCCGTGATATTGCTGGAATATTGCTAAAAGCGGCTAAAAACTAAACTTATTTTTATGTCCTTAAATGTCCAAAGTCCCTCTCATCTGCGGGAACCAGGCTCATATGCTTTCTGTTAGCCTCTCTCCCTTAAGACAGTAACAATGTTATCTCAGGGCGATGTCATTTATAATGTCTTCAAAAGTCCAAAGTAATATCTCATCGCACCCATGGTGTTAATCTACATCACTGGGTAGACCCTGCATTAACGATATATTTAAATGGATAAGTTATGATATGATACCATACCTCTTTCCAAGCTCTTCCTTGGTGACGAACTGAGGCCGTCTTCTGACGCGTCGTCCTTTAGAAGTGGACATATTTGTCTGCATCATTTGATCAAACATCAGCTTATATCTGAACCCAGTCGTTCCATAGTCGAGGGATCCATTTGTGTCTTGTTGGTATGCACTCTCTATACTGTCACTGTTGGCCTCGGTGGTATATCCGCCGGTGCCCTTCAAATGTAAGTTCTTGATAAATAATTCTTAATGGTAGTGTCGCGGCGGTTGGGTAGCCTAGTGGTTAAAGCGTTCGCTCGTCACGCCGAAGACCCGGGTTCGATCCCCTACATGGGTACAATGTGTGAACCCATTTCTTGTGTCTCCTGCCGTGATATTGCTGGAATATTGCTAAAAAACGGCGTGAAACTAAACTCACTCACTCACTACATACTAATGTCACTTCTTCCAGGTATTATACTCAACCAAATTAGAAACTTGACACACATTTATTTGGCAATTTATTTGGTAATTCATTTGGCAATTCCTTTTGGTTTCTTGTTGTGTTATACATACGGCAATGGCATGTTTAGAAGATAAAGCTACTCTGTTTTCAATTTTGCGGTCCTTTATCGTGGATTTAAGACCGCTAAATGTAATTTAAAAACCGAAAGCGCTAGAAAATTGAAAACAAAGTAGCTTTATCTTCATTCTAGCACGACTGATAAGCGTTTTCCTGCTTTATTTCAGGAAACAATATGCTTTTATTTGTAACAAGTAGCATAAATAGATAAAAATAAATACAGTTTACACTGCGAGCAAGCCAAAATATTTGAGTTTTCTCAAGTGAATTATTAACTTCCTCTACTGTATGACAATCGACTCGCTCCAATTCAAGACGTGAACTCGCTAAGTTTAGTCGCCGCTAACTTTATTCAGGGAAGTAACTGTTGACAACCACGCTAATATTCCGAATTTGGAAAAGACCTGACGAAACAGTGACATGCCAGCTTTTATGAGGGAAATTACTGGGCATTACGGCCGGACGCAAGCGGACTGGTTAGGACGAGTGGGCCGATGTGTGTTGTCGACGTCATGCCCGCTAGATCTAGACTCAGTGTTAAGTATGGTGGAATGCCGCTTTTGCGCTGCTGACGAATTTTTCTGCTTCGAAGTTTCAAACCATTCGCTTTTTACTTCAAAAGCACCAAAGATGTTGCCGAGGAAGAAATCGCGACGTGACGACATGTTTGTTTACAATCAAAAGGGTCAACGACCTGTTTGTTTACAATCAAAAGGGTCAACGACCTGGGCATCGCACCATGATGACGTAGAAATCTGTTTACGTGTCGGGATCGAGCCCACCTGTGACCGGGTGTAAGAACCTAGGAGTCAACTTTGTGTGCAGACTCTTTCAGTGTTGTCACAACCCCTAGTGTACAGTACACAACCCTGTGCACTTAAAAGAACCCAAGAATCCGTTGGTATATGACCAGATGGTGGCCACATGAATACGTGCAAACACCCAGTTGCGAGTACAGCAACGTGCAGTAAACTTGGACAAAGTACTGGGACAGTCCACCCAGCTGTGAATGGGTACCTCGTTAGGATGAGAAAGCCACAATAACTCAGTGCGCCTAGTGGTTGCAAGAGTTGTATACTCCCCAGGGAGTTGAGATTGATAATACGATGTGCCGTTGAGATTGACATCCAATGATCGAGGGAGAAAATACCAGCGCCTTGAGCATGCTGTAGTTGCCTGGATATGTGTGCTATATAAATATCCTATTATATTACATATATTATATCACCGCAAGAGAGTGAGTGAGTTTAGCTTTACGTCGCATTTAGCAATATTCCAGCAATGTAACCGCGGGGGACACCAGAATGGGCTTGACAAATTGTACTCATGTGGGAAATTGAACCCGGGCTTTCGGCGTGATGAACGAACGAACGCTTTAACCACTAGACTACCCCACCGCCTTATATGACGACAACCTCTTCTTGCAGACGGTTTTTTTCAGAGGTCGTGTGTAAGCACACACGATAATGAATCGACTGCGCACCACACGTATCCAAGTAAGAGGACATTCTTTCAGCGTCAGGGCCCAGGATTAACAATCCAATGAGATAATGTCCGGCCTGTTGTCTTTTCAGCAGCACAGTGTTCAAGTTACTTTAGGCCTTTGCCTGCAAATTCACCAGGTCTCTATCCCACAGACCCTGCGTCGGATAAGTGAGTGAGTGAGTGAGTTTAGTTTTACGCCGCACAAAGCAATGTTGCAGCTAAATAATCGAGTCTGTACCAGACAATCCAGTGATCAACAGCATGAGCATCGATCTGCGCAATTGCTGTGTCGGATGAAATGAAGAAGGTCTACGCTATGTTCTAAATCCGATAACGTTCGTGATTTGGCAGCAGAGTTAAAGAGATTGTGGCCAGCCTTTCCACCATTCTTTCATTCCTATTTGATAGACTCCATGTGTCTGCATTGCACTGTTGTTCCCGTTACCCACAGTGGGTATACCCATTGTGTTATTGTTTCTTGACCCCTGCCTTGACTCGTAACGTTAAATATGCCCTTTTCTTTTCAATCTTTTCAAATTTTGCAAAGCAATTTCTTTTGTGGCTTCACACATTGCTTATGTTGTTGTCGGAATCGTACTCTATTAACGATTACTTAACAAGGAATTCGTGGACTTACCGTTTTGCCATATTCCATCCAAGTTCCAGAGTCGTCTTCCCAGTACCATCGCCATTGAGTTGCCCACTTATACAGTGAAGGTTGCATCCTGGGAGAATTGGATGACGGAGTGGACAGTCGCCGCAGTGAGATCTTGGTCTTCTTGCTCAAGCCTGTCATTTCCTCAAAACTGACACGGACAAGATCTCCTTTCCTGAAAGGAAACCTCATGAATGACCTCATGAATGACGTCATGAATGTTTGTTTGTTTGTTGCCGCACTAATCAATATTCCATCTATTTGGCGGCGGCGCTGACTTGGTTGACACATATCGTATTCCAACTGCGTAGAACGATGCTCATGATGTTGATCATTGGACTATCTGGTCCTGACTCGTTTATTTACAGACCGCCCCAATATAGCTGCTATATTGCTGAGTGCGGCGTTAAACTACAAACAAATCAATCCATTGATAAAGGTGATATAGCAGGAATAAATTCCAAAGCGTCAATCACTCACGTATAAAACTAGTAACATCTCACCTGTAGGCAACAGGACAACATTCTTCTCCCGGGTCAGAGTACGTCTTCTCCAGTTCAGTGTTGGTGGCATTATCAAAGTCATTCCATGCCTGCTGTCCTTGTACATCAGTCTCTGTATGCTGCCATTGGTAGATCATTGGTCGATGGTGTTTTCCACATTTGTCACCCCGTTGGCACTTTCGAAATTTATGCATACAAATTTCATCGGTATTTATTTCAACGGGTGCTTTCTGGTCTTTATTTGTCCGTTTCTTTGGTCTAGTTTGGGGTAAAGGTCCCTCCCTACCAGGTAGCTTTGGGTATTGAGACTCATAATTCTGTTGGTAAGAGGGTCCTGGTCTAGTTTGAGGAAAAGGTCCCTCCCTACTAAGTTGCTGTGGGTATTGAGACGCATGATCCTGTTGGTAAGAGGGGCCTGGTTGTGGATGGGCCCATCCTCTAGGAGGTTGACGCTGCGTGACACCATACTGCTTACAGTATGGTGCAGCTGCTTGTGAAGCCATTTGCGACCATGAAAATGGCTTACATTGTTCATATGGCTCTGCTGTTGGTTGGGTTAAGGGAGCCTGCCCCATCATTGGCTGGGCGGTCTGACTGTTTACATCTGGATATGGGTTTGAATGTTGCGATGGGGGAGGGAGTGCGAGATCTATCAGTGGTTGAGGACGGTTACGAATCTGTGACAGTTCCTCTCTGTTGTCTCCTCTATCTCTAAAACCTCCCCCCTCCTCCCCTTCCATCCCTTTCTCCTCTCACTCCTCTACCCCTCATCTGTTTCCCTTGTCCACGGCATCTTTGGATTCCTCTTCCAGAGTTACCTCTGTTACTTCTTCCTCCTCTTATTCCGGATGAAGCAAGATGACTTTCTGATTTGCTTCTAGAAAGGGGTAAAGGAGACAAATCAAGTTCTCGTAAATCGCCAAGAACTTCCTCTTCAGGTGTCTGGGTATCAAGACCGTGCTTCTCGAGTATTTCAGTGACACTCTTCTCTAAGATACTGTGCCCTTCACAATCCGCTCCACGTGTGCAAGATCCAGAAATGTAATCTGGACATAAATGCATACGGAAACACTTCGTTGGAGAGTCCTTGCAGGTTTTTTTGTTGAAACTTGTGACAAAGCTCAGGCGTTGTGACTACACACCTGTTCCAAGGACACCTGAAGATATTCCTCAAGTTTTCTAGACTCAGCTTGTCCAGTCCATAAGGTTGAAGAACTCTCTGGTTGTGGGGAGTATTCAGGTTGTGACCAAAAATACAGTTATTGCTTCTGCAGACGCCAGAGAGCAGAAAATACTTGCAAATATGTAAATCTCCACAGTTTTCACCACTGGAGCACGTCCCTCTATTCATAACATGTTTCTTACAAACTGCAAGGCTAATTTCAATTCTAGCAGAAGTGGATAATAGGCTTTCGCCCTCTGATACTACCACTACACTTGGGAAATTTTCCAGCTTCCTTTTTAGTTGAGTAGCATCATCCAAACTTCTACTCTTCATCTTCTTCAGGGACTGAAAGATTGTCAGCAATGATAATTCACATCGTTTTTGGGCAGATAAAATCTTCAACACATTTATTTCCAAGTCGTCTTCAGTGTCCATCTTGTAAGATAGTTGTTTAGCTGAAAAGAAATCAGCTGATAGAAACGTTATGCAACTATTGATGCAGGTCATCTATACTGCATAATGAATGTATATTTGTCAAACCACCTGGTATCATAATTGACATTCAATTATCTATTCATTCATTTTCACTATTATTTCCCATTTGCGCCTAATGGATTTTGTTTTGGCTTATTTTCCGAGTTAAATTCCGATGTTAACATTATATATTTACACCACGGTTATGATTATTTCACCTCATTCAAATTCAAGGCAACATCTAATTGATGCGTCTGTGTCAGGCAATGGTGGAGAACATCTGAACAAGGTGACACACAAGAACCAAAATAGAAAATATCCCTCCGGAATATCTGCCGCTTTTCTGTGTTCATTGGATGGAGGGTCTGCCACTACCCTATCCTTGGGCCCGCCAGGAGAGCGACGGTGCATTGTGTTTGCATTTGTATTGTTTTTGCATTTATTTTGTAATTGTCTATTTTGGTTGCTGAAACTCCCCCCTGCCCTGCAGATTTTAAGGCTCCTATAACCGAACAATAGCTGAACGCTTATTCTGACACCAGTACGAATGGGAAAATGGTGACACCCGATAAACAATCGACGGAATGGGATACGCGTTTACCTAAAGTCATAAGTAGTATACACAACAGGGGTACGAGATCACTTCCAACAAAAGACTTTATTTCATAAATAAAGCCTTTATCAGGCCCTTATCTCTCTCCGCTAGTGTGCATACCACTTTCGAATCCCCAGCAAAATTCCTGGTCACTATGACCGCGAATCAGCACTTTCCTGGTCACGCGGCCTATGACAAGCCAACAATTCCTGCACTATTGTGATCACTCGACAGGGAGGTAAGTGTTGTTTGAGTAGTATATGGAATAGCGAGAAAAAGACGTATAGGTACACCTAAGTCGATAAGCTCCAAACTATCCAATTCGGCTCCCAGAGTCACAAAAAAAAGTAGTGTTTCGCATTTGGGGGTTTGGACCTCTTTTTGGTTTTTCTTTGTGGTTTCTAGTAGTCTATCCAACCCAAGACAGGGTTTTCAGGAGAAAATCACCAGTATGTCGATGCAGGTGCACTCGAATTAGAGATACACTAGGTACATAGGTATAGAACACAACAAAATGCCTGGAACCAAGCTATCGCGCGAAGCCTATGCCGAGATCCGGTCAGGTCGTTTGTCCTTTTGAGAAGCGAAGAGGAAGTACCACACATCGCAAGTCAGATATACACGAATCCGAGGTGGTATAGACCCCGAGCCACAGACGATGACAACTCCGACATGGCGAAGTCTTCGAGGGTCTGCTGGAGAAGTGTCCCCACGTATTGCTTTCGGACCGAGAGAAACAAATCCTGGAGCAATCGGGGCACACCTTCTACGAGCGCTACCAGATCCCTCACCAGTTTCTGGAACTGTATTTGCTGTACTTTCGCCCATTCGTCGAAGATGGCAAAATAGTGGATTTTCGTCTACCTCTACACAACCAACCAATTTCGTCCCTCGGCGGGCAAACTCCGCATCGTTCTCGCGCAGACGACTACTATCCGGAACCCAAGGACAGGCACCACCGATGCACCGACTGCCTGGCCACTCTATCGAACTCCCGCTGTCTTCGAGCGAGACAACTCTACGTGCAAGTGCAGTGCCATCGACCACTGTGTCGACAGGAAGAAATGCGTTCTCTGGGAAAAGAAAGCAATAGACTACACACCCCAGGAGTGACTCCCACTCGAGGTTCCAGAAGTAATCGGGTTCGATGTCTGTATCTCGAATATAGAGAACCTGTACGACAACGCCTGCGCTTTCTGGAACATACGGTACGCACTGCCCTCAATTTGGTGGACTATTGTCCGTGCAAGGAGAAAGATTCTTGTCACTTCCAACAGCTATCGGGGAAGGCAGAGTGGCCAGGCAGTCGGTGCATCGGTGGTGCCTGTCCTTGGGTTCCGGATAGTAGTTGTCTGTGAGAACGATGCGGAGTTTGCCCGCCGAGGGACGAAATTGGTTGGTTGTGTAGAGGTAGACGAAATCCACTATTTTGCCATCTTCGACGAATGGGCGAAAGTACAGCAAATACAGTTCTAGAAACTGGTGAGGGATCTGGTAGCGCTCGTAGAAGGTGTGCCCCGATTGCTCCAGGATTTGTTTCTCTCGGTCCGAAAGCAATACGTGGGGACACTTCTCCAGCAGACCCTCGAAGACTTCGGGCCATGTCGGGAGTTGTCGTCGTCTGTGGCTCGGGGTCTATACCACCTCGGATTCGTGTATATCTGACTTGCGATATGTGGTACTTCCTATTCGCTTCTCGATAGGACAAACAACCTGACCGGATCTCGGCATAGGCTTCGGTTTGTTGGTTCCAGGCATTTTGTTGTGTTCTATACCTATGTACCTAGTGTATCTCTAATTCGAGTGCACTTGCATCGACATACTGGTGATTTTCTCCCGAAAACCCTGTCTTGGGTTGGATAGACTACTAGAAACCACAAAGAAGAAACAAAAAGAGGTCCAAACCCCCAAATGCGAAACACTACTTTTTTTTGTGACTCTGGGAGCCGAATTGGATAGTTTGGAGCTTATAGACTTAGGTGTACCTATACGTCTTTTTCTCGCTATTCCATATACTAATCAAACAACACTTACCTCCCTGTCGAGTGATCACAATAGTCATAGGCCGCGTGACCAGGAAAGTGCCGATTCGCGGTCATAGTGACCAGGAAGTTGACTGGGGATTTGAAAGTGGTATGCACACTAGCAGAGAGAGATAAGGGCCTGATAAAGGCTTTATTTATGAAATAAAGCTTTACAGAGTCTTTTGTTGGAATTGATCTCGTACCCCTGTTGTGTATACTCCTTCATAGCTGCAATCAATCAAGAAATCACTAGACAGATTGACGAAATAAGGGTTGACGCCATTAAAATGAAATCGGTGACTGCCTAATCATCTGCACCACCGACTGTTAAAAAAGTGAAGAAACTGTCTGACGGGTCAACGTGAGATATTTGTAACAGACCGGTGAACTCGAAGGACGGGATGCACGTTGCACTACTGATTCAGTGTGGTCCATCAAAACGTATAGTATCGATTGGGCTGGTATCAAAGAAGGTCAGCCCTATTTGTATTACCTGAAGGATGGACCAGGTCGAGGATTCATGAGAGAGGAATTACTAATCATACCTCACCACACGGTGGTACCTCCATTGAAAAAATAGGCAAAAATATGGGGGACATCGAATGATGGTCGACGCTGTATCTTTATTCTATCGATTGGGCATTATTTACGCTAAATAATGCCATAGGAGGAAGTGATGAGGAACATTGTTTGATGTCCGTGGCTCTTTTTCGATGGTGGTGGGAGCTGATTTGACCGCAGAGGTCCTCACAGAGGACCTGTTCTCGTAACCCCATCGTATATACTACTACTGATGTGAAAACCTGATGCCCATTTGACATTTATGGGGTATTATATGCTTTATGTTCTATTGATGTTGTTAAACGCCGCACTTCCAGCTATATAGCTAAGCAGTTGGTTGGCTGTTGTTTAACGCCGCACTTCCAGCTATATAGCTAAGTATTTGGTTGGCTGTTGTTTAACGCCGCACTTCCAGTTGTTTAACGCCGCACTTCCAGCTATAGTGTTTGGTTGGCTGTTGTTTAACGCCGCACTTCCAGCTATAAAGCTAAGCGGTTGGTTGGCTGTTGTTTAACGCCGCACTTCCAGCTATATAGCTAAGCGGTTGGTTGGCTGTTGTTTAACGCCGCACTTCCAGCTATATAGCTAAGCGGTTGCTAAGTGTTTGGTTGGCTGTTGTTTAACCCGTTTAACTTCCCGTTATAAAGCTAAGCGGTTGGTTGGCTGTTGTTTAACGCCGCACTTCCAGCTATATAGCTAAGCGGTTGGTTGGCTGTTGTTTAACGCCGCACTTCCAGCTATATAGCTAAGCGGTTGGTTGGCTGTTGTTTAACGCCGCACTTCCAGCTATATAGCTAAGCGGTTGGTTGGCTGTTGTTTAACGTCGCACTTCCAGCTATATAGCTAAGCGGTTGGTTGGCTGTTGTCTAACGCCGCACTTCCAGCTATATAGCTAAGCGGTTGCTTGCGTTGATGTACGTGCTTCCGGTTTCATCAAGGGAGGATACAATTATTAATAATTCCAGAAGGTTTATGAAACAAAATCTATAAACTCGCTAAATATTGTATTTTTTTACAAATTCATGAACAGCTACGTAATCGGACCATGTAATTAACTTCAGAATATTATAATAATTAGATATATTAAAAGGATGACAATAGTTTTTCGGTATCACGACGCATTGTTTTTGTTAATAACTAATTAAATCGAAAGTTGCTAATTTTTAGAAAATTGCGAACGTCAGTGTTTTCTCTTCACTAAAGAAAAAAAATATTGTTCAAATTGTAAAGAACTTATTTCATCATGAAGAAAACATTTGAGTAACCACTTGACGTGTCGAGAGGCGATTACATTTTTAAATCGCGGGGTTTTCGTTTTAAGGTACATAAATCACTTAAAGTTTATATGTTGAGAAAGCTGAGAATTTATGCATTCCATGCATAATTCAAATGAAACGTAAATACTACTTGGTCAATAGTTATTGCAAGGTTTGTTTGTGGTTGTCATTATGCTGCTCTCCAGCTTGGAGGGCATTAAACTTCCTGCACAGAGGTGAGGTGAGGTAAAATTGGCTTTAACGTCGCGCTGGAGAATATTTCGCTCATATGACGACGTGCATTCGTGTGTATGTGTAGGTGCGGCTGCTTGTACTAGCACAGACTGAAGCTGGTTTTATAGCCCTGCACAGAACACAATAATTGTGAATTGTTGTGCTTTATGACTCCATGTGTTATTATTGCCTCACACACAACATATATCTTAGGCTGCCACTGGCGATAGTTCCATTCAAGTGAGGACTCTCATACACTGTGGCATTCATACACTGGCTCCACGAAAGTGAATAGGCCACGATCATTCACTTAAGCCTACATATCCCCGTCACGCTTAATACCCACATGTTCCACGCTTATCTCCCTTGATAACACAACTGCTGACCTACAAATAAAGGTAAATCTATTCTAAACCGAACCATTTACGTGAGGCTCTTATAAAACAGCACAGGCCTCACTCTCACTGTCTCACAGTCAGTAAACCACGTTGTTTTCCCTACTACCTAGCCCTCCCTGCAATATTAAAGCCCTAAATGAATCAAGTCGAGATTTCCTCAGGTTCAGGAATCTCCCATCTAACTGGGCGTCCTTTTTTTACTATCAAAGTTATAATATTCAGAGATTAAGCGTAAGTCTACACTCTCAGGCACTTCAAGATATATTGAGCGTTAGAGTGTGAGACTTCTCATTTACCCGTTCAAACACACCCTGTCGCTGTATGTTTACATCTGACTGTTGACATGAACCTGGATCAATGGATCTGTCGTATTGTCGACTGTAATTCTGTACCCTAACACTGTACTGCAACACACACACATACAAAGAGAAATATGTTACCTGTGTTATGGTTGATGTTACAACTGCCACAAACAGCTTACTTGATTTGTGATTGCTTCCCTCGCCTTGTGGCTCAGACGCCTCGTTCTCGGAACTGTTACGTATCCTACTTTTTGTTTGTGATACGTTTCCGAGAAAAATACATTGTCCATGAAATGTACAGGGTAACGATCGATTTGGTGGTAGCGATAGGGCCGCCGCATTACTATCGATTCATTGAGTGAGTGACGAAGCACTTCGTACCGCGCTTCCGAGAAGAGAGACATTTCCAGAAATTGTAGACATTAAAGGGGAAGTGAAAGTGAAACTAGCAAGTGTGCAGATCTAGCCTCCCCCACTGCCTTCAATAGAATAACTAGCAATATATCACTACAGTGGAACTTGTATATTACGGACTTGCCTGGGACCGACTCGTTTGTCCTGATTATAAAGCAATCCGGATTAGTCAACTTTAGTCCGTTACCATAGACACTGCCATGATGAGTTCGCTGACATCGGGTGTGTTTGCAGAGATCAACTTTGCTAACAGTCCATCGTTTTCTTCATCGCCGTCTTCAGTTTCCTGGGCAGTAGGAAATCCACATTTCACGAATGATCCCTTGATCTAATGGCTTTTAGTCCGTAGTCCGTAATTGAGAGAGTCCGGATTATAAAACAAGCTTTGATAATAAATTAAGAACAATTTTGCCGGGACTCAGAGAAGATTATGTCCGGATTATGGAGAAAACCGGTTTACAAAGATTTGACAGAATCTACAGTAATTGTTTTGAAACTAGTCGTAGAAAAATAAAACATCTCACCATTAGACCACGATACAAAAATGTATATATATGATAATAGATCACTAGTAAGAAAGGCATGATCACTGTACTTTAAAATTAGTCGTAGAAAAATAAAACATCTCACCATTAGACCACGATACAAAACATGTGATGAAGGTCGATAGGAAACATACCTACTGTCTTGAAGGCCTTCATCACCACATACCTCAATCACTCAAAACGTGTGATGAAAGCCGATAGGGAACATACCCACTGTCTTGAAGGCCTTCATCCCCAAATACCTAAACCACATAAAACATGTGATGAAGACCGACAGGAAACATACCCACTGTCTTGATGGCCTTCATCCCGAAATGCCTCAATCACTCAAAACACACCCACTGTCTTGAAGGCCTTCATCCCGAAATGCCTTAATCACTCAAAAAATACCCACTGTCTTGAAGGCCTTCTTCCCGAAATACTTAACCACACAAAACATGTGATGAAAGCCGATAGGGAACACACCCACTGTCTTGAAGGCCTTCATCCCCAAATACGTAAATCACATAAAACATGTGATGAAGGCCGATAGGAAACATACCCACTGTTTTGAAGGCCTTCATCCCGAAATGCATCAATCACTCAAAACACACCCACTGTCTTGAAGGCCTTCATCCCGAAATGCCTCAATCACTCAAAACATACCCTATGTCTTGATGGCCTTCATCCCGAAATGCCTCAATCACTCAAAACACACCCACTGTCTTGAAGGCCTTCATCCCGAAATGCCTCAATCACTCAAAACGTGTGATGAAGGCCGATAGGGAACATACCCTATGTCTTGATGGCCTTCATCCCGAAATGCCTCAATCACTCAAAACTCACCCACTGTCTCGAAGGCCTTCATCCCGAAATGCCTCAATCACTCAAAACGTGTGATGAAGGCCGATAGGGAACATACCTACTGTCTTGATGGCCGTCATCCCGAAATGACCCAATCACTCAAAACACACCCACTGTCTCGAAGGCCTTCATCCCGAAATGCCTCAATCACTCAAAACATGTGATGAAGGCCGATAGGAAACACACCCACTGTCTTGAAGGCCTTCATCCCCAAATACCTAAATCACACAGTTAACCTAAATCACACGGCGTTAAAGAACAAGCAAGCAAGCAAGCAACCAAATACCTAAATCACACAAAGCGTGATGAAATCCGATAGCCCATGTTAAACGTGTTGTGTAATTTTAGATTTTATCGTCGACTCTTTGTGGCTCAGTAGAGGTTGGTGTGTTGCGTTGAAACTTTCTGAAGCATGAAGCATCATGTTTCCATGAGTAAACCATGCTAGAAAAAAAAGGTTTCGTTCAGTTTCTTGACACATTTATGTAGCAGACTGACTATTAATAGTTTGTAACACACGTACTGAATGAGTTGGGTTTTACGCCGCTTTTAGCAATGTTCCAGCAATATCAAGGCGGGGGACACCAGAAATGGACTTTACACATTGGACACATGTGGGGAATCGAACACGGGTCGTAAGCGTGACGAACTGAACTTTAACCATTAGGCTACCCCACACGCTCTGAGATGTCTTGTTTTATACTATTGATGTAGTAATCTTGTTTGTACCGACGGCATATAAACAATGAATTTGAGTCAATTCACATGCAGTGTTTACAAAAATAATTCACTTGCACCTAAGAGAACCGTGAAATTCCAGGTTAAACCTGGTCTTCAGCAACCAAGGGGTGACCAACGGGATCATACAGTCAGGCTCGCTGACTTGGTTGACACGCAATCATATCTCAGTTGCTTAGATCGATGCTCATGATGTTGATCACTGGATTGTCTGATACAACTCGATATTGTAAAGTACACCAACATATAGTTGGAGTATTGCTGAGTGCAGCGTTAGATAACAAACAAACAAAGAAATAAAACAAACAAACGTGCACCTACGCAGTGACACAGTGATGTGGAATTAGTATATCAATAAAATGATTGTGGAATAGACTGACAAGCGCGAATGTAAAAATATCTGTTCAATTCAACTACAGTAGGGTACGGTTATAATGAACCAAAAGGATGGTTATATCAGTCGGTTCGTTACAAGAGTGTTCGGTATAAGCGTAGTTCATTATACGCGTTGCGACTATAGTATACAGCAAGTGGCTGGAACAGAAAGACAGGTCGTTATATCAGTCGGTTAGTTACAAGTGAGTTCGGTATAAGCGTAGTTCACTGTTTACAGGATAAGTGGACGGGGTAACTGCATTGGGGTTGACCGTCGTGCTGAAGACAATTGCAGGCAATGAAAGTGTGTGTGTATGTGTGTGTGCTAGCGTAATCGTCTGTGTGTATGCGTGTGCTAGTGCAATTGTGTGTGTGTCTGTGTGTGTGGTGTAGTGTGGGTGAGTTAGTGCCACCGTGATTGTGTGTGTGGTCTAAATGTAAGTGTATGGGCGAGTGCCTGCGAATTTGTGTGCATATGGTGTAGTGTGGATGAGTTAGTGCCACCGTGTTTGTGTGTGTGGTTTTAATGTAAGTGTATCGGCGAGTGCCTGCGAGTTTTTGTGCATGTGGTGTAGTGTGGGTGAGTTAGTGCCACCGTGTTTTATGTGGTGTGTGTGTGTTAATGTAAGTGTGTGTGCTAGAGAGTGTTAATGTAAGTGTAATGTGTGTGTGTAGTGTAGGCTCTGTGTGTGTTAGTGCAACCGTGTTTGTATATGTGAACACACCCAGTAGAAGGCTCTTGCCTAATGTCAAGTAGAAGGCTCTTGCCTAATGTCAAGTAGAAGGCTCTTGCCTAATGCCAAGTAGAAGGCTCTTGCCTAATGCCAAGTAGAAGGCTCTTGCCTAATGTCAAGTAGAAGGCTCTTGCCTAATGTCAAGTAGAAGGCTCTTGCCTAATGCCAAGTAGAAAGCTCTTGCCTAATGCCAAGTAGAAGGCTCTTGCCTAATGTCAAGTAGAAGGCTCTTGCCTAATGCCAAGTAGAAGGCTCTTGCCTAATGTCAAGTAGAAGGCTCTTGCCTAATGCCAAGTAGAAGGCTCTTGCCTAATGTCAAGTAGAAGGCTCTTGCCTAATGCCAAGAAGAAGGCTCTTGCCTAATGCCAAGTAGAAGGCTCTTGCCTAATGCCAAGAAGAAGGCTCTTGCCTAATGCCAAGTAAGGCTCTTGCTGAACGGTGTGCTAGTAAAGTCTGTGATAGACTTACAACGAAATTATGTCCACAGTAGTCTTTTCCTTAAGGTACGGCGGGGCCGGGAATCGACACACGGACCTTCCCCTCTCCAGACAGACACTGAGCTACTACACCACGGATGCGCTCTAGGATTACTTCTGCTCTGGATCAAAGAGAACACGGCACTGGGACTATACTACACGTTCACGTATCGTGAGAAGGAAGTAACATCCCCAGTCTGTTATGTAACTAAACAATTATACATTCACCGGCTGTATATATGTTAGAGTGCACGTCACACGTCAAATAGTCTGTTTCAAGTCCCCGAACCACATATTTTCCCTCCTGCCCAGCTATTCCCGCAGTTCTAAAGCCCTAAATGAAGCAAGCCTAGATTTCTTCAGGGTTTGAATATCCCTTCTCACTGGTTCTCCTTTTCAATTTAAAAGGAATTGTTTGTTTCAGTCAAAATTATATGCATTCAGAGACTAAGTGTTAGTCTAATTGTTAAAGTTCTCAAAACAGCTGTAGACAACCTCTGTGCAGTGAGTGCTTCACAACAGCCAAGTCACAACAACCTACTTTCGTTATTGTTATACCTGAATGTAATATCCTACCTGAACGGTGACGCGAGTTCTCGATGACATGAAGCGTTACGAGTTGCCTGCATTGAAATGTCATTTTCATTTTATGGTTAATCAATGCAGCGCTTTTGACACGAGACAAATAACAGGTGAGTTTAGTTTACTCTGTAATAAATGTCCGTCCATGTACGTTACAAGGATATATCGAATGTCACCTTTCCGTTGTATTAACTAAAGTCGCCATCTTAATACCCTACTTATGCTGAAACGCCATGATCGGGACACCTTGTACCCGACAGCCATATTTCTGTTTGATGAGATATATTTGACTTTATTTTTCGAGTTTTGAATAATTTCAGGTTGCATATTGACATTTTATTACTATCACTTCATTAATTACCTACTACTACTGCTACTACTGCTACTACTACTGCTGCTGCTACTACTACTACTACCACTACTACTACTACTACCACCACTGCCACGTCACCGTTACTACTACAACCACCACCACTACTACTACAATTACTACTACTACTTTTACTACTACTACAACAACTACTACTACTACTACTACAACTACTACTACTACCACCACCGCCACGTCACCGTTACTACTACCACCACCACTACTACTACAAGTACTACTACAACAAATTACTACTACTACTACTACTACTACTACTACTACTACTACAAGTACTACTACTACTACTACTACTACTACTACTACTGCTGCTACAACTACTACCACTACTATTACTACACCCACTACTACTACCATTATTATTGCCTAAAACATTTTTCGCGTCGTATCCACCGCTAAGCGGTGTTCACAGTGACGCTACATTAATTCAACCTATTATGATCGAGTTCATTCTCAGATCCAATGGACGAATATATGGGCCAGGGGTAAATGTGTTTGTTTA